CTTCCTCCATGTCCTCCTCCGAATGAACTTCCACCATATCCACCGGACGAGCTTCCTCCGTATCCACCGGATGAACTTCCTCCATGTCCTCCGAATGAACTTCCACCATATCCACCAGACGAACTTCCTCCGTGTCCACCAAATGAACTACCTCCATATCCACCGGATGAACTTCCACCGTGCCCACCAAGTGAACTACCACCGTAGCCACCTGATGAACTTCCGCCGTATCCACCGGATGATCCTTTGTGATTACTAGCAGAATACCCACTAAATAAAATTCCGCTTGAAGAACCACCATAACCTCCAGAAGAACTTCCGTAGCTTCCTAAGGAGCCACTGTAGCCTCCTGATGAACTTCCATGACCACCGAACGATCCACTATATCCTCCAGATGAACCGCCATATCCACCTGATGAACCACCATGTCCACCTGATGATCCACCATATCCACCTGATGAACCACCATATCCACCAGAAGATCCACCAAATCCTCCTGATGAACCACTGTAACCACTAGAAGATCCACTATAACCTCCTGATGAACCTCCATGGCCACCAGAAGATCCACTATATCCTCCTGATGAACCACCATATCCACCAGAAGATCCACCGAATCCTCCTGATGAACCACTGTAACCACCGGAAGATCCACTATAACCTCCTGATCCGTGATCACTGGAAATATATTCATCGGATGAGCTATCATCATAGCTACTACCACCATGTCCACTTGATCCAGAATCATAAATACCAGAAGATCCGTGATCTGAAATAATAAATTAATTAATTACATAAATAAACATGCTTTACAGGATAATATTTTAAGTTAAAATTCATTTTATTATACTCTTACCACTATACGAATCATCTCCACCACTACCATAACTACTAGAAGATCCTCCATAACCACCAGATGAACTTCCATGATCACTATGACCAGAATAATGATCATCGTGGTGTTCGTGATGGTGAACTGGTTTTTTTACATAAACTTCTTTCACAATGGTTGGCACATGAACACGGATATGTACACTGCAAAGTTAGTTTGAATATTAAGATTAAAATTGGGTTTTGAAGTTAAATAAAAAAATGTGTTTCAAATATTTAATCTAAATAATGAAATTAAAATGTTATAAATTATACCATTACAAATTTCAATACAAATTAAATTTAAAAAAAAAATAATAATTTTAGTTTAGTTTTATTTTTATTTGCATAAAAAAATGTTTAATGTCTCGCTAAATTATAATGAACGAATCATATTTTAGTTTACTACAAGCTCATTAAATATTTAGTGATCGCTTATGCAATTTAACTTAAAATATTTTATTTACAACTATATGCATAATATAAGAGGGTAAATGGAAATAATTATACTCACTGTTCTTTGCCACCAAATGTTGCATGTGTTGTGTCGAATATGCTGGCGATTGCAAAGAAGCAGAATATCTATAAAATACGTACAAGTATTGTAAAGTTATATTATTATGTTAAATATGATATGTACATGCAGATATGGATCGGTGTTGTTCCAAGATATGAGAAAATGGTTATATAATCGCACGATGATGTGTGTGTCGTAGGCGTGAGAATGTATTTTGTTTTTTATTTTATTGGCTCGAGAGGAACTAGTTTTAGGAAGAGCGCATTTTATTTTTATCACCCGTCGGTCACTCAGGTCGGGTCATCGCGTGCGCTGGTGAAAGGTTTCCAGCATTCGGGCAGATCGCTGCTGAGTGAAAGTGATAATTCTGATGATGATAATTTTATGTGCCATTTTGTTATTAATAATTTGGAATAGCTAGTGGGCCAATAGTTATGTCCAACAATAATAATAAAAAAATATGGGAGGCCTTCATTAAAACGCGGCAAGTTTGGATTAATGCATAATGTATCATCACTTCCCCAGTCGGGGGCGGATAGATAATTATTGCGTATATCCGGAAGTAATATTATATATCGTGATTGAAAATAATGATATTATTATGATATGTATGCTTGAATGATGATCATGGTTTTCCATATGCGATTATTGTGAATGTATAAAAATACAATATGCATAATACTATTTTCTATTTTGTTGAACGTCGAGTAATATATTCCATACGCATGAAATAAATACATAGAGATAATTTTTTTTGAATTTGATTAATACCTACATAGTAAAATCAAAATTATTCTAATCTATAGTTGCCTAAAAGTTATGTAAATTTTTCATTACAATCTAAAATCAATGAATGTATCATTCAGGGGGTTATATATAAAAGCTGTATTTTAAGTAGATAATGGAAGTTAATTTAGACTAACTTAATAGTCTCATACGATGATTATAAGAAAATCCTTGTTAAGATGCTTTTGGGTAGGCAATAAAAATGTTATATAGGTAGGTATCAAAAAAAATCAATAAAAAAGTGGTTAACAGCAATGACAAAATTCTTTCGAAAAATTTAATTTTCCACTTATTTTACTGTCCAAAACCACAATACACAGCGTTTCGCTCTAAATCGTTTATTTAATGTGACAATTGTTAATCATTTTTGGATTGAAAACTACAACACGCGCCAAAAAACATCCAACAAAGTGATTTATATCAAAAATCGATTCTCGTGAGACTAAATCCTTACTGTAAACATTGAAGCGTGACGAGTTAACGTCATCGAAATCACTATCCTTAGAATTTTAACGAAGCGAGACTAAATCCAGAATAAGTTAATTACATCTTTGTTTAAATATTCGGAATTTTATCGGCAATAAAGTCTCATTTTTATTTACAATTTATTTTGCCTATTTAATTGTTTATTGCATGACGTTTAAGTTACTCATACAATAAAAACTTAACTATATTTGATTTATTACATGGTAATATATACTATAAGTTAGTTAAATTTAATTATTCTTAAAAATTAGTAAGAAACACTTAAAATAAAAATACATTTTTTAAGTCAAATAAATATAAAATATTAAATTTAAAAACTTTTAAAACCATTATTCTTTTAATTTATTTCATATTACATAATAAACATAACATAAAAAAACAATTAAATCCTTAAAAGAATAGAATTATTAAATGAATTATTTCATGTAATATGAATAAATCATACTTTTAGAAAGGGAGTAATACATAATGTCGTAGTTAAAGTATACTATCGATATTTTAAATTATTATCTATTGATCGTATACATATTATATCTATAAAAATTGATATTATATTTCTATAAATCATAATATTAAATGTGCACTTAATAATTAGTATTATCTCTTACTTGTGTGTTTAACTGTAAAAACAATACATTAATTTATTATATTTTATAATAATTAACTATTGTACAAGATTTATTATTCTTTATTGTATATTATAGATTGTAAATTTCTTTTGTAAACTCCAAAAGCCTTTACTGCCGACGGTTGATTTAAATAAAAATAAAAAATATATATTTTTGTATGATTTATATAATATAAAGTTTTTAAAAATGACTATTATTGTGGCTCATTAATGTTTAATTTATTTTGAAATTGTTAAGAAATCTCACTCAATTTTCGATTAGATAATAAGATTTTTGTAAAAATAATCCAAAGTAGGCCAAAATTGGATCATTAGTTTTGTCGTAACATTTTAAAATAGTTTCAGAGAATATAGATATATAGTACTTATATACTTAACCCCAATATATATGTTATTCATATTGTATTAAATACAAATATTTTTATAGAATGCATAATTAATAATATTAAAAGGGCGATAAAAAATTATTTTTGTGTTATTAGTGTAAAAATAAGCAAATCTTATTAAACTTAACTTACAAATCAAATGTACGATAATTTTAATAAATTGTTTATTTTATAAATAACTAAAATATAAAATAAAATAATTAATACAATTTGTTTTATGTTTATTAAATCGTAAGCATTATATATTCATCTATTTTAAAAATATATAGTATTTTAGATCATTCTTAATCTGTAACTGTATAAAATAAACAATTTTATTAATTAGGTACCGCAAATTATAAAAATTTTAAATTTTAGATTTGATTTTTTCCTCAGTTTTAAGAGAAATAATAATTTATAATTTAAAAAAAGGTTAATAGGTATTTTAAATGGTGTGTTTAATAATTAACAACAAATTCAGTTATTATTAAAAATAATATATTTTTACAAGGTTCATATTTAGTGAATATATATTTTTTATCGATTAGTATTATATAAAATTTATTTTATTAAAATTTCGATAATATTTTTAAAGCAAATTAAATTTATTTTGATAAAAATAAAAACGGGTTATTTTTAATTAAGTAATAAATAAAATAATAAAATAACAAATTAATAAAAATATTATTTTTTAAGAATTATTGAATAATTCCTAGTAATAATATTATCTATTGTACCTACTTAATAATTTGATTTAATGATTAAAATACTTAAATTACACTTTAAAAAACTTGGTAAAATTAATATAAATCAAAAATCAAAAAAATAATACCATTCCTAATAAGTTATAAATAGCTTTAAATATTGTAAAATCATTAAACTTATTGGGATGATAATTGTAAATAACACTGTACGCATAAAGTATAAATATTTGATTATATATTTTTATATACTTTAAATGTATTCCAAGTAAAGGAATAACAAAAACAATAATATTGTTATAGTTTTGAAAGAGTATCATATGATTATATAGTAAAAAAACATGCTATATGTATTGTTCACTTACTACGATTGATAAAGTTCCCATGTTGAATACAATAATATTATGATCCAATTGGCAGGAACGTTTCAAAAGATATTATTAGTTATACTTCGAATATGATAATAAAATCTACACTGACCGCCGTAACATACAATAAAAATTATATAGGGTAGCTGTGGTCATCAAAATCACCGACGAACATGTGAGTAAACCCAACTGGCGTTCGGTGTTTTTATATCCGAAAGTCGCCAACCGTAAAGTCGAATGTCTGGTGGGGCTCCCGATGCCGGGTAATTGTCGTGTATTAGCGATAGCGTTGTAAGAAAACAAGACGCCTCGATGTAGGTAAAAGTAGGAAAGTATTGCAGCTACGATAAAATGTTATTGCTCTAGGGTGGGCGAACAGAAGTTATGGACGAAATGTTTTCAATAATTATACAATAATATAATAATGTTATCAAAAATTTACATACATTTTTTATTAAATAGCTAATATTTGATTTTGTCCTTTTTTTTTTACTTATTGTAGGTATGTACATAACAACATTTTTAATTTATTACTCGCGAATAGTAAATAATAGAGTTTAAAATAATAATAATACACGATATTTTCTATAGTAAGGTATATAAAGGTATAGGAATCAACTAATTAAAAATTCTATGTTAGGTAAGATTAGGTAACTAACTCATAATAGATAAAAGATAAATGATTATAGTATTTTAGTAGCAATGTAACATTAAAACTAAATATAATATTTACAAATAATATGATTTGAGAAAAACTATAGTTCAAGTAACAGTTTGATATATTAAATTTGTTTTACAAATTAATGTAAAAGTATAACAAAATATTTTTACAAATAAAAGCGAAATTATTTTCGTTTAAAATTGAAAATGCAATAAGTGCATATAATTTATATTGGATTTTACATGTTAAAATTAAAAAATTGCAATGAAGAACTTTCATTTTCATACTGTAAAACTAGAAAACCAATAATTAATTATATCGATTAAAGTAGTAGTAAAATAATAATCAGGGAACTCACTACGTTGTTTGGTAAGTTTTTGTGTACTTATTTATTGATTAAGTAAGTGTATTGGCTATGTTAAATTCAAATTCAATGATAAATCATTGAAAAAGATTCTGTTAGCATATTTTTCAAAAAATATTTTATTATATTTTTATAGCTGTAAATGATCCATTTTTCTATTATTAAATTGAACTAATTTTTTCTAAAAATAAGTTGAATATGTTAACTACAGTCGACTCTCGATAATTTAAAAATTCAATAATTCGAAACCTTTGGTAATTCAAAGTAAATACTCGGTGCCTTGAAAATCTCGTGGTAATTCGAACAAAAACAATGCATTTAAGTACATTCGGTAATTCGAAATTAAATTTTGGGAAAATTGGCCACTAATATTTGAAAATTCGAAGTATCATTCGTTCAACGCTCGGAAATTCGAAATATATTCATCAAAATAAATGTATTTTATCTGTATTCTTATAATCTTTTTGCTTATAATTTACTATACAATCATGTAAAAATTTAGCTTATTATTTTCGATAACTATAGAATATTATCGTAAGAACCTTATAATTTTATAAATTGTATTTCTTAATCATCTCTAATCGTAATTTAATTCGTCGAGTCGTCAATAACTCTAATAATTAATAACTTTAGTATGTACCACCTAATTTATTGAAATAATTAATATGTATAATAATAAAAAACAAAATTTTTTTCATAACTTTCTATAATTTAATTTTTTTTTTGCCCTCTCGTTATTTCGAACTATTCAACAATTCGAATTTTCGGTAATTCGAAGTTTTTCAACAGTCCCATCAACTTCAAATTATTAAGAGTCGACTGTACTAATTTAATATTCCATATAATACTAGTAGTTGTTATATATGTGTATATATAAATAAAATGCTTTTTATCGGTAAGCACATTATTTGCAAACGGATAAAACAATCAGAATCATTTTTAAGTAAATAATAATATAAAACATTAGAAGCGATGAAATTCTTTAAGTTCTTATGAATAATTATTTGTTTATTATTATAAAAAAATAACATTCAAACAATATTTTATTGCATTTTAACTTTAAGTACTTACAAAAAAAAATTGTGCATTTTTATTTTTAAGGTTTTGAGGTTATAAGATTATTAGTTTAGGGAAGAAAGTATAAACATTTTTTTATGACAATTTCAAAAATAAGTTATTGAGATTTTTAAAGAACTAAAATAATTTTAACATTTTGGTGATTTTAATTAATTTTTTTTAAAATGTCAACTATAAACGCCTGTAAAAAATTAATTGCGACAATATATTTTCAAAATTTTTAATTTGAGTATAAAAAATTTACGAAAAAATTTATTTTTAATTTTCAAGATTTTATATTTAACTTTGCCAAAAAGTATGGTTAGGTTAAGTAGAAAATTTCAAATATTTTTATCATTTTTAAGATTTAATGAAGTACAATTAAAAAGTCGATTCATTTTTACTGCTTTTTTAAAGGTGAAATAATTCAAAACATATTACACAATATCATTGTAAAACCAATGCATTTATCATTTCTCTTAGAAATGTGTAACATATCAGAACCGTAAAATAATATACAAAACATTTCAAGTGAGTTTAATATTGTCGAGTTAAATGAAGAAAAAATAATAAAGAAAAGCAGATACAATGATACCTATAAAAATGTTGAAAATAAAAAGAGTAGACCTCGGACCTATATGGTTTTTGTATTTTTGAATATTAAAATTCATGTTTTGTTAGACTTTAACTGTTCAAATTGGATGTCATTCAAGGATTAAACCGAATTTACGTGCATTATAAAGGACACTTGTAATTGTTTTTCACTTGTGAGAATAATCAATTTAAAATTGAAAGATTATTACTTATTATCTTATAGTTATTTGAGGTCATTGTGATTTTGATAAAATAATTTCATTAATTTATTTTTGTGTGAAATTACCTTCGAAATAAGTAAATTATTTTTATTTTTTTTTTATCTATATGCTTAGTAGTTATCAAAAATGATATTCATTGTGTTTGATTTTATGATACATGGAATGTATAATACGTAGGCATAGTATAATACATATTTATCTATACTGGCTATCCTAATTTATTTTTAATAAAATATATTTAAAATAAATACCAAAAAGTTTTTGTATATAATTTATATATTTCTTAATATTATGTGCAGTGTGTACTAGTTAATTAAATAAAACACAAATGAAAATCGTTGCTTTAAACATGACTTATATTTTTATTTTTTATTTTATTTTTTTGTGATATAATATTATATATTAATTAATAAACTTATTACTTGGGTACCTACATTAGAAAACATAGTTATTTGCCACTAACTTTGTAAACTCAGCTCAAGTTTATTTCTAAAATGTATGAATTTGATGTAGGAACTAAAAAAAAAAACTGAATTCAGAGTTGAAAAAAAAGTATTTATTTATTTTTTTAATAATACTAAACTAACGTTTTATTTACTTAACTGATTTTAAGATTTTTTTGATTTTTTGAATTTGTTGAAAAATGTATGATTTTTTTTTTAAATGTAATATGTAGATGCATTATAAAAAAAACATTCTTGTATTATCTACAGTATAGCTGTATATACCGTGATCTACTAATAAAATATATGTTTCATAAAAAAAAATTATGATATAATTTTATGTTTTTTTAACGTTTTAATCGTTTATGAAAGAATTTTTTTAGCAAAACTTCTTATTTAAAAAATTTTAAAAACAATTTGCTTAAACACATTCCAACCTTAAAATTGATACACTATATTACATTTTAATATAAATTATAATAATTATATTTAGTCATATAATAATTATATCATTGAATGCTTTTTAATACCTGTATTATATTATATACCGAGTACTTAATGTATTTTAAAATATATTATTTATAATTATATTTTAAACTGTTATTATTTAAACGCTATATTGCTATAGTGCTTTTATGTGATACTATGGTTTGACACTAAATTTTTTATTATATAATTATCAACAAATATTTTAGGATAATATATATACTTTGTTTCATGACTAATTTATATTTTACTAATTTTTAATTACAAATTGTTATTAAGTTCAATGAAATCTCTCATGTTCACGTAGGTATTCTATTTGAAAATAATAGGAAGAGTGTAAATATTTTACTCTAATTAAACAATGAACGTCTAAGTCGGAATATGAACAATGTGAAAACATTCCCGGAAATAGAATGTGTTGTGAGTACTTTATATTATATGCTTTTGTGTATTTCGCACACGAAAATACTTAGAAAATATTATGTTTTAATCATTATATATAATTGGTCAACAATATTGAATACTTGATATTTACAAAACACATCCTTAAAAGTTTCTATTAGATTTATAAAAACTATAGTTTTATTACCTTTTACTATAGAAACATATTGGTGTGTATTTATGAACATACTTATTAAATATATTGGTTAATTTATCAATAAAGTATTAAAAGTTTATTTATTTAATTTAAAAAATAATGAATAAAAATTGGCAAAATTATTAAAAAATAATAAAAATCAATATATTTTTTTATAATAAAAAATATATTCATACAATTTCAGATAGACTACATTAAAATAATTAATTACTCTATAAAAACAAGAAAAAACTTTTTGAGAAAATTAAATTAATTTTAAACATTTTTCAAATTCATATTTTTTTAATCTTTCAACAAATTACAAAATTATATTATTAATTCAAGTTCTACTATTTAAAATTAATCTTTTGTTTTATATTTTTTGAAATGTTGATTACTACTCGTATTATAATACAATACATAATAGAGACATCACCTTCATATTCAAGTATAGTAACTTTTTTCTTTGTTATACCTATAATTTAAAATTAAAAATAACACAATTTTATTTCATTACAACGATTGTTAATTTAGTATTCTACAAATTATTATTTTTATTTTAAATATTAACTACCTGTATCCTATAATATACATTCGTCATAAAATCATTATAAAACTTAAAATTAAAATTTTTTGTTGAAAATCTTAACTTAGGAATTACCGTCATTACTTGTATTTTTTATATCATATTATGTTTAAACATTATAAATTAACATATTTTAATTTATTGATTTTTAATTAATATTATTAATCATTAATATATTATTAAGCTTCAAATTCTTATTT